TTCTACCTTCTCTGCCAGCCTCTTCCAACTTGGCATCCTGCTCAATCAGCCACTTCAGCACAAGGTGGCCTGCAGGATGCTCCACCACATGGAGCTACACAAAGCGGGGAGAAATGTGACAGCAAACAGCCTTAGATCGGGATTGACCGGATTGTAAGAAACAGAATGACCGTCTTACGTTCTCGGTGGTGCCTCGTCCCACAGGCACTCTCAGGATGACTTAGACACTCTCTCCTTACATACCTGTCCCTCCACCCCCCCTGGGACGAGGTCCTCTTCGGCGAGTTCGGCCACAGCCTCCATTGCCGGCCGCAGGTCCCCAACAGCGCCTCCCAGGATGTCGCTCACGGCAACGCAACAGGCCTTATCCATCACCATGGAGCGTGCGTGCTCACACAGGTACTGCAGGAGGGGGGGGGACACCGCCTCCAGGAGCTCCCTACGCCGGACGGCTGTGTCCTTTTTGCTGCTAGGTGAAGCACAGAGCACACGCGGTGTGACCAGACACGAGGACCCAGGCGATGGTGAAAACTCACCTGTGTACATTCCCGTCTCCTTTCTCCAGCACCTGGATGATCTCTGGGAGTAAGTGTGCGGGGTCCCGAGGGCTCAGCAGGTACAGCAGCACCTTCTTCCCGTACTTGTTGCTTATGATGTCCGAGAGCGAGGCGATGATCTCCTGCAGGGATGGGGGCGGGCGTCAAATCTCAGAATACGAGGTGAAGCCACAAAACCGAAGCCTGGGCCAAGACTTCAGGGTCCAACAGTGACTCACCGCCAAGATGGTCTGCTTCACCAGCTTGGTGTCGTCGATGCAGTCAAAGGCGGCCAGAAGCACTAGATGAGCGTACTCTCCCTGCAGGGGAACAGAGGGGACACTCAAAACCAGCACAGAAACATCGTTGGCGATCTACTGAATGCCATAGACGGGAGATGAGGTGACCTACCATTGCAAACTTGTCAATGTATGTCTTCATAGTCTTCACAATGACTTTTCTATCCTACAAGAAAACACAAAGGTTCATGTTCTGAAGGCAGCCAGTGTTTCACCACATTGCCCGCTGATGCCCCACAGATACAGGTGGCTACAGCACTGTGTTTTTAAACTGCTATGAGTGAGATTGACAGGTTTGAAGGGGAGGGATGAGGAGAGCACCTTCGGGGTCCCGTGCCACAGGCAATGCATGGCCACCCTGGCTCCGTCGTGCGTGTGCGCCAAGTACACCACCGCTTCCCGTATCGACTCGATCATCTCCTGTGGGAAGCCCAGTCACATGACACACGCATCACATGACGGCCCCGACAGCCTGCCCTCTGGCAACCGCAGAACCAGTGCAGAAGCTCAAACTTACAGATCGTAGTTTGGCTGGGGCATGGAGGAAGAAATCCAGGAACACCTTGTGGACCAGTGAATGTTTAATGACAGCTTCTCTGTTAGAATGAGGGCAAAAGAAAATCAAAACGTCAAAACCAAATACTCAACACAACTGGGAGGCTTCACTGTGCCTGAGGCTGGTAAACAGGTAGTGCTGTGCCAAGCTTTGTGCTTAAGTGTTCAAGGGTGTCCCGTTTCACCACCCCGAGCTTATATTTCAAACCAGCCCAGGCGGGATTCACGACACACACAAACAACTTGGTTATAATGCTGCTAGATATGCTGGCCGTAGCTGGATGGGGGAAAGGCGTAGGGTGCTGGAATGCTGGAGATGACAGAATGCAGGTAAGCTAGACCCGTCCGACACTCACTTCTGGGCCATAGGCGTCAAAATCTGCTTCATCTCATCCATGATGCTGCCCAGCTTCTCCGGGCTGGCCTCCAGAACCTTCTCAAGTGTGGGGCACACTGTGGACTGGTGGATCGCACAGAACACAGGGAGACAGTTACTCCAGCACTATGACAAAGTAAGGCACCAGTGAGGAAACCCTTTACAGATTCCTGTATAAAATATTAAATAAACTTTTTTTGTGCACTGTAGACTCAGTCTGGTTTCCCAAACCAGTCCTCGGGGCACACTGGAAAGATCCACATTTTTGTTTTACCCCAGTACCCAGAACACCTAACCCAAGCAATCTGGAGCTCTAAATACCTTACAGATGTGCTGGGAACTGGGTCCAGTGTGCCCCGAGGGCTGGTTTGGGAAACACTGTTATAGATTTTCCAAAAGGCAGAGTACCCAACCAACAGGGTCTGCATTATGGATTGAATGGGAAAATTGAATGGGTGCTACAGAGCCTTGTCCGCTCGCACAGCAGGTTCGAGGGACAGTTTCTCCCACCAAGCAGCACCAGACTGAACGGACCTGTAGCTTATCCACACCCTATGCACCAGGCACTACACACGCAGAAATATGCTCTCAACTGATGCCCTTTTCAAGTGTAATAATTATCTTGTGCAATATCCCTCTTATGTTTTTATACTGTGCATTGTAATTGCTTTATGCAATTGTAGATTACTGTTTTTTTCCTTCGATTTTCTTTAGCTAGTACAGTTTTTATAGAGGCTTCTATAGAAACATCCAAATGTCATCTCACTGTACTCCTACAGCAACAATAAAGATATCTGCCATCATGTATCTTGTAAAAGGCTGCCCCCTAGTGGCGGCCGCTCACCTTGCAGATTTGGAAGGTGTTGCCGTAGAGCTCCTCGCTCAGCATGAGCCTCTGGGACAGGATGGCCTTGTCGTTGTAGGCGAATTCCACCACAGACGACGCCTCCGCGTGCCGCAGCAGCTGCCTCACCTGGCCCTTGAAAGCTCGCATCACTTCTGCAACCTGCTGCTTGCTCCTGCGGCAAACGGCGACACCCGCATGAGGCCACCCAGGGCGCGGAGTGAAAGCCCGCCCCCGCGGCTCCTCTCAGCCAATCGAATTAATGCCCTCACACATCCAAAAGGGAAGGACAGAAAGATGGTCCTGTTCATGGCACCAGACAGATAACCACCTGGAGGGTTAGGGCTGAGTCTGCATTCTCAAACATTCCAATATGTGAGAACATGTATAAAATCCGGGAGAAAAAAAATCTTAAAATCACATAGTAAATAAGCCATGTTAAATATTATTTAGCAACAATATAACTGGCTGTGATTTATCCATCCTCTGATGTTTATAGTTTGCTTGTTTACCACCTCTGTGTTTGCATGAACTCTACATGCGCCAGTCATACTCATTTTTGTCCTTGTTCACTCACAACGAGGTGTGTTTGTGAAAAATATAATAAAAATGAGTGCGGAGAACAAACAAACGAGAACACTTCAGCGGGAGACTTTCGCTGTATGGAAATATTTTGGAGACAATATTGAGAAAAGCTAGTGATTTGTCGGCACTGCTTTGTGTCAGTGGGCTCAAGTCACGGCAACAAGTGTAAGAATCTGATTATGCTGCTGCTGCAAACCTTACATGTACATTTATATTGTTGTGATTGTAATTAAAATGTTCTTGAAACTCATGTTCTGTGAAATTCATTCTCAATGAAATTTTAAATAAAAGTGAGTTTATGAGTGTATCAGTAGACTTTTTTGGTGAACTAACCAGAATGTGAACTACTGACTTGCCTTTCCCAATAAAGACAAACTCTACTGTTAGATGACAAGTTCAATTTGGCTACGCAGTCATGAACCACATGACGACATTTCTGGCGATGACGGACCGCATGTATATACGACGGCGCTCCCATAAGATTATATGAAAAATTCCTACCGCCCAGAGACGCAGGCATGGTAACATTGCAGCACAATGCATTACTCACAATGTACGACAGTGGTTTGTTTTGTGTACATTTTCGGCTCCTTTTTTGTTTTATTGTAAGCCTTACACTTTCAAATGTCAATGTGAATTTTTACAATATCGTTCAGGCCCAGTTTCAAGGCTACTTTTAAGTTACCCTTTAACAAACAATGAGAAATATCTTATTTTGTATGGAAGAAAAAAAATATATATGTATTATTCTTAATTAGTTGCAAAATTCAACGAGTAATTCTGTCTGAAATGCTCAGCCCTACAAGAGGGTAAAGTCCATTAGCCACTCAAATAATCTATATCCAGCTTATCCTAGTTTGAGTAACAGGGGGACCAGGAGCCAAACCCAGGCTGCAGAGGGCACAAGGCTGGGGACGCACTCTGAATGGGTCACCAGGTAACCATTTCATATCCTATGTTAGTAAATGTTTCACTTACCCATACATTAAAAACTTCTTCACAATATTTCTTGCATATTTTGACTTGCTGAGCTCGACCATGTGATCTGTAATTTAAAAATAAGCATCATGAAGGGCCTGGTGATGCAGAACGTCGCGGTCCACATATCTGCTGAGCAGCAGTGTACCTTTCAGCTCCTCAAACACCTCCTGCCTCTGCTGGTCACTTCCGAACTGAATGCAGCACTGCAGGACTCGGGTGGAATCATGCGCGAAGGCGATCTGGGAGGGAGACGCCTTTTAAAACCATGTTCTCATGCTAGTCGAACTTTTTTAACCCAAAGTCTCTCTCCACGTCTGCAATCAGAATTTGAAACAGATGCAAGTTCAAACACTCACAGCTTTAATCTTCCCATGTACGAGCTGCTGCAGTTCACTCATGAGCTTGGACCGCTTCTCCTTATTGCAGTCTTTCCTGTTTTAGGGGAAATGTAGCAAAACATAACACATAAAGCTGGGCTCTTCCATTCTGGAAGATACTTTAATAATTACTGATTCTGATTGGTCAGAGGCTTCACACCTGGCTCAAGAATAAAGGAAAGCTGGAAAATCATCAGTGCTCAGACCTTGAGGACTGTGAATTGAATAGCCCTGATGTAAAGGATGTACCTAACACTCGTACGATGCTAAATTCTTTAGCTGTGCTGAACAGAAATGGCCATGATACTGACTCTCCTGCTTTCCAAACAGCCATGATACAATAAGACAGCAAATGGATACTCTACCTCCGCACCATCTCCCAGATCTGTTTTGCCCGTATTATAACTTGATAGCTGTCCTTTCGTTCATTCTGCTGCCGATTCTGTTTCAGCTCCTTCTTCTTTTGCTTGAACTCATCCCACTTTGGCTTCTTTGCTTCAGATCCTGGTGGAAAAAGTAGTCCTTATATTTAATGGGACACCTGGTTCCGTGTCACTAAAGCAAAATCACTGGGATAGAGCCATGGCAGCCATATCTCAAGTGACACGTGAAACATGTTTCTCACCTTCCTCCTGCTTTCTCTTCCCTGGGGGTAATTTCCTCTTCTGTGGAAGCTTCCCATCAGTTTGCTTTTTCCTCAAGAATTTCTGGGCTCCACCTTTCCCACTAGTTTTCTCAAATTTCTTCCCCTTTTCTTTAGTTTGGGCCTTGAAAGGTCGTTTCCCCCCTGGTTTGGCCTCCTGCTCTCCTACTTCTCTTGTGGAGGCTGAAGCTGCACAGAAACATAAAGGGTTTTGAAGGACACAAAACAGGACTGCATACGTATGCACATGTGCGCACGCACAAACACAAATCCATTACAGTCTCTTAGTACCATTCAAGACCATAAGTTCTCTGGACTTTTAATGCTGAGGAAAAATACCAATTAATATGTTTTTTAATTAAGCCAAATGTTTAATATCAATGTCACGTGACAGCTTTCTGAATATTCCAAAAATAATTTAGCTCTTGTCCATATACTTCATACATGCATACGAATCCACGTGATTACAGTGAACGGTTTTCTATATCTATTTTATTACTAGAACAGACGTTACCTTTCGCTTGTTTGCGTTTCTGTCCTTGTGTCTTCCCAGTTTTCGGAGAAAACGCTTTTTTCTTTTGTCTGGCTTCCATCATAACGAGTGTCCACAAAAACAGACCTTAAATGTTTTTTTAAAACCGTTCGTCAATTACATGGATATAAACATCAAGCGCAAAAGAACTACCATGAGAGGTCTGATTCTGAAGCCAAAGCGGAAAAGACAAATTAAATAAAAATGTAATGAAACGTAAAGATATTTAAACATGCAGTCCAAAAGCATGGACTTCAAAGCAGTCATAGACAGTCTACTAGCGACTACGGGGCATATATTCGAATAATTGTACATTACCTATACCCATAACAAGCCCCAAATAAACAATAATAAAACTCGAATTTTATAACTATACAAGTCTCGAATTTTTAAGATGACAACATACTATGTATTTTGTTACTTCTGAAACAACACTAAACACGTTTACATACCTTCCCATGTGTTTCGACCGTTACACTTTACGGCGTCTCTCAACCGCAAACTGTAACCGACTGTCGTAAAGCCTGAGTTGGTGCAGTTATGTTTTGCCACAGTATGCAGCTTATGATAGACTGGGAAAAGGCTGGTGTATTTCATATGTTAATAATGGAATAAATAGAGCTGCACTTTCAGCACATTTAGTGTAAGAAGAACACATTTTTTTGTCTGCAAGGTTCCTTGCCAGAGGTAAAATTATGGGTGTGTTTTGGCACTAACGTGTAACACATTGAATAAAAGGCATCCCTATCCAAACTCAAACAAACCTGGAATTACGTACTTCAGAACAACATTTCCCAGCCTAATTCAGTGATTGCCCGGTAGGCTTTTGGTTCGTATTTATAACTAAATTATAATTACTATTATATCAGACAAACATAAATACCTTAAGAAGTGTTTCTTCCCGCGGCCCCGTTTGATAGTCGTTTGAAAGTTTGATGGATGGATGAATGGATGGATGGATAACGGTCTTGTATGATTCACACTTTATTTAAAGCCATGGTGCAAATTGAATAAGTTTCTTTTTAGGTTAATACAGCACATGGTCAGAGGGTGGCAATGTGGTTCTTCAGTCTGACTTCGCGGTTACTATAATGCTTCGTTCAAGTAAGATACAGAAGTATATAAATTGGTGAATCCGGTCGGCCGCTTTGAGTAAGCGAGAATACATATACATCGTCTGACAATTTCCTTATATGTTGGTATAAACACGGTATATGTGGAAAATAGTTTACAGTTAAATTCATGGCAGACAGAAGCAATGGGAAAGAACATAAAAAATATATTTTAAATGCAAAAAAGTTATGTTTCTATTGTAAATAGGCCTAAATAACATGAATTGCTTCCATAAGTAATAATAAAATATGAAATGTGACAGAATTCTTCCCAAACGATATATTGCACGTTAAGAAAAGTTAATCATCTTTCAACATCTGAGTACTGTACATTTTAGATCTTAATGACAGATTAACAACAGTCTGCATTATAGAGAAGAGCCACGTGGACTGAGACTGAACCGAATGCTTTCAGCTGTCAAGTAGAATCAGCCTGCAGTACCGCAGTCCTCCAGTGGGGCGGCAGTGGCCCCATCCTCTCCATGGATGGGTTCCTCTCCATCTGTACAGGACACTGTAGTGCAGCTGCCCCAGGTTCATTAAAAGCTCAGGGTCAAAACACGAATGCGAGACACATTTCCGTCAATCCTCCTGCTGTTTCTCCATGTTTTTAGCTCTGCTTTGGCGACGGCTGTACATCTAGGCATATCTGGGATGGGGTGGAAGACAGATAGTAATAAGGGTGTTATTATTTCTGTGAGTTGTAGTTAGTTTGCATTACATGTGGCCAGGGTGTCTCTAGTGAGCCATGGAACTATACATGATAAACTCTATTACGGGTCGCTGGTTAAACAAACAAAAAAAACAAACTTACTGAACCCCTTCTCGTCTTTGGTGAAATACCACTGCAGTCTAACTTTGAACCATTATTTTATCCTATGCTGGTTAGCACTAATTGTAACACTAACATTTATAATTAGCTGAAACGGCACATACAGAGCCTACCTGAAGAAAGGGTTTTTAAGGTCCAGTATGTTGCCAGATTTGAAGCCAGATTGGTCGACAACAGCAGACAGATGTATATCATAGCTTTGCCTGGGTGCACAGAGCGTTAACATGTTATTCCGTCTGAAATCATTGTCATCAAATTAGTTGCACAGGAAACCAATAAATCATCAAAGGGGGAGAACCTGCCTTTTGTTGGCTACCAGCAGGACTGTCCCAGAAAGGGTCTGCCCCATTTTGGCAAAGAGCGGGGTCTGAAGAAGGCAGCGGACCTGGTACCAGTGGGTCAGGGGCTCACTCGGCGAGGTGGACAGCCATACTGTGGTCCTACGCAAACAAAACCTCCCAGATGCCTGATTTGTAACACTAAGACGCACAGCAGTCTAACACGGCAGCTATACTTGCCTGTCAAATCCTTGGAATTCTCATTTACGGATTCAAACCCAGGACCTTCAGGACTACTTCCAGAGGTGTTTGTTTTGGGATCTATTTAGGGGTCATTCGTTCTTACCTGGAGCCCACAAAGGCCACGTCGAACCAGACTGCTAGGCCATGGATAAGACCAGACTGGTGTAACTGGAAGACGAAGGGGATTTCTATCCTGAAATACCAGCAGGGACCTGGATTATATTATCATGGCCAGTTAGCATCTTCAGCAGTGTAACTGTGATAGCCACAAAATGTTACTACTATACTGTTCTTTACAACGTATTATTCTTAAAAACATTGCCTGTAAATTTTTACAGGTCACTAAAATAAGGGCCTTGACTAATCACCTATGCAAGTCCTCTTCTTTGGCATCTAGGAAATTGATGCTGAATTTGACAGATTTTGCCATTAGAATCTGCTTGTCAAATGTGTCCTGAAGGGAAAAAAAAAAACATGAAAACTTAAAATGTGGCTCTTCGGAGTGGCGGAAAAGCCTAACAAGTCGTTTCAGTTGATATTAGGGTTCCAACACAAACACGTCTTATGTGAGAGCCGGAACACTGACTCTGTTCCACAACCAAAATAAATTTTAGGGAGCATATCGCAATGGCAGAAGCAGACATAAATAAGCCTTGCTTTGTCTGTCAGGAATGACTCTGAAGTGTGGGGGAGGGTTCTCACCACGACTGGCTGCTTGAAGAACTCATCCACAGCAGCACTGTGCAGGCCACTCAGGTCAATCCCAAAGAAGGAGGTCTGATGCCTGCTCAGAGAGAAGGATTCACTTCTGTATGGGGGTCCCGGGTGACCCCCAGCCCACCCTCCTCCCCACAAGCTGAAGAACCGCAGGATCTTACTGTTCAGCTGTATTTATGAGCAAGGTATTCTAGGGCTCAGAACCTGAATATATAGGAATGGAAAGAAGGAACGTCTAGGTATCTGAGGACTGAACTAAATTCCACTGGCACCTTGGGTGGGTTGTGCCACATCACCGTACCTGTACAAGTTCAGCAGGTTACGGAAATATGCCCATGTTTGGAAGGTTGTGGGTTTGAATCCCGAGGCTAGCAGAGCAATCATATCACTGTTAGATCTTTGAACAAGGTCCTTAATCCCAACTGCTCCAGAGGTACTAGATGTTGACCCCGTCCTCTGACTCCAGGTTTTGCTCTTGCCTTTATATACATGTGTCTCTCATTGAGAGCAAGAGGGGATATGTGAAAACTATTCAACCTCCCCACGGGAATAAATAAAATAGCACTTTTTCGTTATTCAGAGTGATTCAGACTGATGGCCCTGCTTTGCTCTAAGTAGTAAGACTGACATGTGAACTGCTGTGTGGGCAGAAGAGATGGTGCGGCGTGATAACACACAGCCTGGCCAGGTGTGCCTTCAGGCATCGGCGAGAGGCTGTCAGCACCCGTAGAGAGCAGAGGAATGGAGAGTGAGCGACCCAACACTGTCCTTAAGTAAGAAAAAGAAAAATCTCCTGAAACACGCCACTTATAACAGGAATGCCCATGAAAATCAGCAATCAGTTTGGCCGATCGCCAAGTTTACGATTACTAAGGGCAGGCCAGCAAGAGCCGGCTACAAACTCAGGACAGCTGGATATCAAAACAGAAGCATTCTGCTATTTTGAAATAGATCTGTGGAACATCTCTTTGATACACGGGGCCTCCTAAAACACGTGGGAAAGAATTCGGTTTTCCATGCCGTGCCCTTTTGCTGGATTCCAGCGTACGAGCCAGTTCAAGTCAACTTTGCAGTGTACCATGAGGAGGGCAGCTAAGCTTGATCTCCTCCTCACAAGCACAGACAGGCCTGAGGCACCTATATAAACAGCTCCAAGTCTGCTGTTTTACTCCCGCCCCCTAGTAGCAAACGTCCAATCGGTCATTAAGTAAGAGCTCTGAAACCAAAACTACAGCTAACAGATGCAGGGAGTCACCAAAACCTCACTGCTTGAACTAAGACCCTGCAATCTGATGTTCTTACTCAGCAAAGTTATGCAAATTGTGTATTTTTCATATTTGGGTCTCATATCACTAATTAAATTGGATAACAAAGGTCTAATCTATGTTTTGTTGAGTTGATGAAGTACAGCCGGGTAAACGTATATCAGGGGAGGCAAATCAACGTGCCACAAATAGCAGGCAAATTTCTGACAGCATCAGGTTAATTCTAGCATGCAGATGAGGACAGAAGGGGGGAGCAGTCGCACAGGGGAGCTGTAGGCAAGGCCCTGCGATGTGGCCAGAGGGGGGTGGAGGGTACGCACCAGAAGCTGGATCGGGTGTAGTGTTCTATGTACAGCTGCTCATCAGAGAAGGGGGCCAGGTGGAGGTCACTGAAGGTCGGGAACATCATTCCTGTAGGCCCAGTTATTCCATCAAGCGAAAATGCGGAACACACATTATAAAAGCGACAAGCAGATGTACGAGACATCTCGGAACTGAATTTGTGTAGTTTCTCCTCAAATTGCCACTCCCAGAGGAAATCCCATGACGACATGGGGAGAACATGCAAACTCCACACACATAGAGCCATGGCAGAGACTCGAACCCTGGACGCTGACAGTGCTAATGACTGTGCCGTCGTGCCACATGTACACCAGCATTTTGAAATTAAGTTTTAAAAAGGCAGATGTAACCAGCATACTGTTAACTGTCATAGCCCATTACAAGACCATGACAAAAGCAAGTGGAGTTACATCTAAACTAACCTTTGGACTTCAGCCATTTCTTGGAGTAGAGGTAGCTCTCCAGCATTCGCTCATTCAGCAGCATATACCCGATCGGCTCCGACACGATAACATCCACCTGCTCTGGACAGGAGACCTCCTCGATCTTCCCGGCCAAGACCGTGATCCGATCAGACAGATTGTTGCTCTTGACGAGAATCTGGCGGTGAAAATTGATGACAGCTTTCTAGGCAGGGTTAAGAGGAGAATGCCACCGTTTTCTGTGAAGCCGTTTCCCTGCCCAATTTTCCACGGGTACATTACTCTTTCTGTACAGTTTTTTTTTCCCCACCAGAATATGTAATAAGAATATCCTCAATGACCATTCAACCAATTACGCTCAAAATACACCAAACACAAAGTGGCGAACATGTTTATTAAATCGTTGCCAAAACCCAGGGCAGAAAAATCCACTCAGAAGGCGGGAAAACCCATTGAGATCCTGTCCCAGATCCGTGCAGCAATATCCCAACACAACCACGTTGCTAAGTGGGTGCTGAACCCCAGTGTCCAAAGGGTGGGGGGCCTCAGCCCCCTCCCTGTGTGAAGTCTCCCGTTGAGATGACTGATGCATCATCCAGCTTTACAAATATTCAGAGCCTGTCACAGTCGACGAAGCAGGACGCCAGGGGTAGCACATTTTATGCTCCCTCCCTCAGTGAATGCATATATTTCAGCAGTCTCCATGACCCTGGGTATGGTGGTCAATTTCCCAGTCTTTCCAGACTGTTGGGATTCTCCATGTGTGTGGCAGCAAACCCTTTCCTGTTTGTCCAAGTGTTTTCCACACAGCCAGTCCCCTCTGTTCATCTGGCTAGAAGCTGGGCATGGGCGGGGTCAGTGGCGTGGGGGGGTCCCAGACAGGGGTGGCGGCCAGCATGGAACCCATGTGATGGGCAATCACTGTGTCTGGGATATTACACCAGCCAAGGTCCCTTTGTTGCTTGTTTTTGTTGAACCAGCATCAAGTTGGGTGTTGTGTTTGGCTGATAAGAGGCAACGTGGGGGGATGCATCTGGTTGCAATCTCAAAATATAATATGCGTTTACCGAAAACGAGGAAAATTTCCAACAGCGTAAACCAGGCTTGACTGTTGAGCAGGAAACCATCCACCCGTGAAAATATGTTTCCTTTTGCCCCAAACAGTTTTATTGGCCAAAGACATTATCGGGTCATTAAGCCTTTGGAATTTCCAGCGGTAAAGTCAAGCTGGGGGCAGAGTGGACTTTTTCAGAACTTTTTCAGGCCTAATCTTCAGGCTGCACTTACATCAAGACACAGAGCCAGGGGTTGCTGACACAAAAATATGATTTACTGTGACTTAAGTCAAACTAAGTCAAAGACCACAAATTACTGTGCAGCAAATAATTGTTGTGATAATTTCACTAACGTTAAGCTAAACTATAAAGAGTTTTGCTGAAATACAAACCTTTTGTTTAGTTATTATGCTTTAAGGGTTGTGTATGAGGTTTAGCTATTTACCTCAGAAGAAGGGATAACTGAGAAAAATGTGGAATTCAACGGCATCCTGGTTTTTAGTGTGTGATACAGAACAAGAGAGTAAATGAAGTGGCAGGCCAGGGGGGAGGGGGGACCCACCTCTGCATACCTAGCCACAGAGCTGGCTTCCACAGCATACACCTTCTTGGCTCCAGCCTGGATGGCGAAGAAAGAGAGGATGCCGGATCCGCAGCCCACATCTAAAACCACCTGGGGAGGAGAGAACTCATCTCAGCCATTCTCCATCTACAATAAGGTCAAAGATAAATCTTTCAGGTGGACGCTGTTTTGATGCTGAAAGCTGATGGACCGAAACAAGGCCAGCAGGGCGGAAGACGACAGACCTCACCTTATCTTTGAAGTCCACCTCGTTCAGAAGTATGGCCTTCTGGTAGGTGGCTGTCCGCAGGTAGTCCTGGAGCATGTTCTGCTGCTGGGACAGACAGCCATAAAACTGTACACACAAAGACATTTGAAGAGCGTATCACCAGTGCCCCCCAACAGGCTGAACCTCCACCTTAAGCCCCACATTCAACTACCAATTATTTGGTTTGAGGATGTTATATGAAAGGAACACTGGCCACGCAGCTGAGTTCTCTATCCATCCCTCTGTTTTCAAGAACCACTTTTCCCAGGAATGGTTGTGTGGATCCGACACGAACCCCAGAAAGGACAGGACAAGATTATAACACATCCTGATTTAAGGCATAGCTAGTCATTATAAAGAGCTGACCAAAGCCAACCCAAGAGTTACTGCTTAATACTTCCTCCATGCACCGTGGACCACACAGAAATAACCTACCTGGAAGTACTGCCGGGCCGAGGAGTCGTCAGTGCGCTGGTCAAATGCAGACGGCTCCTTCCCCAGTCTGCTGTCCCTCCTCACCATTTTGTGAAAGGTGTGGAACTCTGGGCCGGGGACACAGTCCACTCATGACAAACCAGGGGATGGCCAGCGGCTCCCAGCAAACCGGCCTGCACCCCGCCAGGCTACAGTCACGGCGTCTTGCATGTGCCAGCATGCTAGCAAGAAGCCTGCTTCTCAGCCCGCATTCCAGCGAGGAGATGCAATCCGCAGGACAGCCGTGAAGATGAACAAGACAGTTCATGCAGTTCATAAAAAAACCCTAAAAGATCCTAAAAACTTGCACTGCAGTTGACTTATCCTGATTGTTTTCAGCTTCACTGACCTGAGATACAAAAGCATCTATTTACATTTTAAGCATGTGTTTAAATATTCATATATATGGTTTTCAATTCTCATAATCATACTGACATAGTCAGCACTATTGCTACACACCTCTGGAACCGTGATCCGAGTCTCCGCCCTGGGTCCATGTTTTCATGTTCCATGTCATGTTCCAAAACATGGTAAGGTGAATTGGACTTTCTAAATTATCCACATGTGTGAATGGTATGTGTGCCATGGGTTGGGTTATTCCCTGCTTTGCGCCTGTATCTTCCAGGATAGTTGCCAGACCCCCACAACCCTGCATAGGACAAGCTGGCAAATGGATGGATGGATCTTATCTGGGGTATCGCCAGCTTTGGCCCTGTGATTTCTGGGCTAGGTCCTAGCATTACTGTGATCCTACATTTAATAAACCATTATGTAAAATAAATGAATGAATGGATAACCCATCTTCAATAAAAGCCATTTATCCAGCATGGATGATAGCAATTTGAAGCTAATATGGAGCTTGTAGGAGTTTTACTTACACAAAAGTGTCCTGAGGGCAGAATGAAATATGATTGGTTTAGAGAGATAACCAATCAGATTGTAGAGAAGATGGGTCCAAGCAACTAGAGGAAGGGGGATCAAGATATCTGATTCGTTGGTCCCGCCTCCTCAAGTTGCTTGGACCTATCTCCTCTATGATCTGATTGGTTCCCTCTAAACCAATCATATTTCATTCTGCCCTCAGGACACTTTTGTGTAAGTCAAATTCCCATGAGCTAATAGCTAGGAATAAACGACATAATGATGTAGGCTCTGGACAAAACATCATGTGGTTTAATGGATATGGATGTCGGTGTGACTTACTCGGAGCCCTCACCTGTCCCAGTCCTGAAATGGAGGAGAACGCTGACACAGCCCAAAGTGACAAGAAAGGACTGGTTGCCTGCCCTGCAGCACTCCGTCTCTCTGCCCATCGAGAACTTGAACACGCACACACCGTCACCTGCAGGGTGAGCAAACCCAAACGATACAATCAGGACTGGTTAAGCTGGGGGCTACACCGTTCTACAGTTCTACTTCAGAAGTGAATTACAGTTCATAGATTTTTTTTTTTTAGTTTATGTAGAAAATGTGATTTTTTAAACATATTCCGTTTTGGTAATTATGGTGAATATCTGTTAATAACATATTAAAACCCAAAGAACTTTGTTTGGTAGGACCGCATAATAATTTTTACAAGAATTTGTTATGACGACCGATTTTCCTCTTGTCTGGCTAGCAGATGTAATAATGGGGTCAAAGCCTGGATCCCAGCCGCACTGGAGCCAGCATAGGGCGGTGAAAACCCGAGTCAATTCTGGCACTTAGCGTGCAGCCCCGTTATGTGATAACGATCGCCAAGATGCATAAAAACCTGGCAGTCAAGCCCAGTGCACCGTTTGAGGGGATAACAAACCCTGGATCAGGCGAATCTGGGCTCAGCACAGCAGAACCCCCGCCCTAGCCTGAGCCCCAGGTCGCGCAACACAGGCATAAATCTGCAAAGCTTGTCCGCGTGCAGCTCACAGGCGCTCAAGCACAGGCGGATAGGCTCCATGCGCGCTACACCTGCATGGAGACGGTACGATAATCCTCTTGACTTCTTCCATTTCATTTTCCTTCTACTAAACGCTTGTCTATATCGATCACGTTTTCACCTTCTCACAGACCAAAACTGTTCACACGCAAAAGAAAACAAAAGAGAAAACATGCCAGTGCACCTCTCGCTGAAATGCTATGAACGGGTTCCCTGCCCCACAATTCCCGCGTATATATCTTATTATTACCACATCTGGGGAATTTTACAGCCCGTACATATAAAGTTTTAACGTATTTATATACATGGAAGAGTATGAGCTACATATGGAAAGCGCTCCTGAACACCGCAGCCGAAGACAATCCTGGAAAAAAATAAGAAATGGTAATAAGAAGACGTCTAACTTAAAAGTACAAAGCACATGATTCTTAAAACAAAAGCTATTTAAAGTTGTTGTTCCAGTTATCTGAATTTTTTTTTCCTTATTTGATAGGTGTGATTTTAATAGGCCCATGTCTAATGTAAAGAAAGTGATAAGCTACCCTGTAGAATCGGTAGTATTGATAAGGGCACTCACCGTTTTTGAGAGTGAGCTCCTGTTCCCCCTCCACGCCGCCCACTTGTAAAGTGAGGTCCTGATGCTGACTCGACTTACAGAGTTGGATTCCTCCCTTCGCTTGATCCTCGCTGAAAATGTGCAGACTAACAGCGAAGCTGTCTTGCGTGTTGCTCGTATCCATGGCGCCGCTGCCCGTCTCTCCGCCGCGCACGACGGGGTACTCCTGCTAAAATGTGCGACCTGATGCGCATCTGCTTGGCCACAGGAGTGAGAAAAGACGAGATACGGGGAAATACCCAGTCTCAGTTTCACTAATGGGCGGGACAATCCTGACCCTGCCCGAAAATTAGGAGCGACACCTACTGATATATTAAAGTATGGAAATATCCGCGAGGGAATCCTATATGCTCTCTTTAAAAATATTTTCTCTTATGACGACACATCACAACATACCGTGTTTCGGACAAACCTGTTAATACACTCCTCAATATTAATCAATGGTTGCATTCAAAGAAATCATATCTGTTATAAAGATTGTTTGCCCTGCGATAGACTGGCGTCCCTTTAGGATGTAGCCGAACTTTGTGCCCAAATGCTGCCTGGCGTAAGCTTTAGCCCTCCCGCCCCTGACCAAAATGGATGGATAAGCAACGTACAGGGAAACGACAAATTAAACCTTTAAAATAGGTTTAAAATTTAACTTTCGTAGAAGTTCACTTTCTAGAAAAGTGAAAAAAGAATTGCTATGGGCCTACTTCAAATGACAAAGTTGTTATAAATGCCTCATCAAAACATAAAGCCGAATATGAATAGCAAGATCAAGAAAAGCGGGGAGGGTCGATTCCGACTTTTTATATACTATTCCCAATGAGTAGCGGAGTGTGTGGGTTTTTATATAGTCCTACTCTCGCCCCCTACCTCGGAGGTCGGAAGCCGGAGCAATTTAGCAAAACTGGGGACCTCAGGTCCTACTCAGGTCTGAACCACGTACGGCGTATAATATTTCGCGAATACATAAATAAGAAAATCAGAAATTATTACCGAGAAAGAAATTGCATACGTGTGGATGATGACATCACTGCCGCCTATAGGGTGACACATAGTGGAGAAACCAGGCAATTACAAGAAAGTTCAGGAACGTGCTGGAGTTCGCGGAGTCACAATATAAAGCGTGAGCCCTGAGAGCCGAGGCAGAAGCAACGCAGAGCTGACGCTGAGCGAACTCCCAGAGCTAAGTAGAGACGACACTGAAGGACCACTGACCATGCTGTGCTCCCACGTGTTCCAGCCTTCCTTCGGACCACTGATGGAGTTCCACTGGCCGGTACGCAGCATCTGGCCACACATGCGACCTCTGGCACTTCAGCATGAGATGCTGCTGAGGAGCATGCAGGATATGAGCACCAGCATGGGTCTCCTAGAGAAGGTTCATGAGCAGATCCTGCAGGAGATGGATAAAGTGCCGTGTTCTTTGTCCACCAAACCGCTCTCCTGCCAGATGGAGAAAGATGGAGACGACTTTGCCCTAACCCTGGACACTAAGGACTTCTCCCCAGAGGAGCTGTCCATCAAGCAGGTG